CCGGCACCCCGCCCCGGGCACTACAGCTGCAGCTGCCGAGCTCCGCTCAGCTCGGCTAGACTAGATCAGACCCGGAGAAGGGGGCGCGATCTGGTGACGTCAGAGAACCGTGTCCAATAGGAGGGCGCCCGGGTCTGTCCTGGAAGTCAAATGCCGAAGGGCGGGTCAGGAGCTGGGGTGGCGCCTGTGCGCCCCAGGGTGCCCATGTCCGGGAGACGCTCACTCTCTTAGCGACCCTGGGCTTGCGGAAGCCTGCGAGTGAGCGCTGCTCTGAATTCGGCTCCCTGGACGCGGGGCTAGCCTCACCCCAGCTTCTGGGCAAAAAGTGGAGAGGGCTGGCTCCCTGGGGCAGCCGTAATGCCCTGCTCCGTAGACGTGGGGTCCTACGTGGCTGTCGCGGTGGGAATACCCACCCAGTCACCCTGACATTAGCCCAGTTCTGGTGCCGGTGCCCAAGATCCCACAGGTTGTAGGACGGCAGAAGGGGGTTGGGGTGACCAGATCCTGTAAAGGGTGCTTTTCTTTCCCTCTCTCTCACTCACACGTGTGTGCATTTCACTCTGTCATGAATAAAAACATTTTTTAAATGATGGGGACTCAGTCTTAGCACCTTCGTTGAAAAAGACAGTTATCCATATTTTGTCGTTAAATTTTGACAGAAGGCGTGTGCATTTGCGCGGGGAAGGGAGCGAAGGCGAGCAACCCCCATGGGGCATGATCCCCAACAAACTGTAAGTTAAAATGGGAAGAAGAGGACCAGCAGGGGATGGTGAAGGCTCTGGACACTCCCACATGGCCACCCAAGGTTCCAGTCCCTGGTGGCTTGCTTTCTCACTTTCCTCCTCTCTCTGTGTCTGTCTTTCTCTGGTCAAATTAAAATAAATGAATGAATAAATAAAATTAAATAAATAATTCCTTTAAAAAATGGGAAGAGGAGAGAAAAAGCGAGTGGTTAGCATATCCAAATAAACATATCCACCTAGCGGTCAGATAGAAAATCTGCAAAGCTACCACAGCTCTCATTGCTCTAATTAGTCACCAGGCTGTAGCTGACTCCAATCACTTTCTTTCCCTCTGCATTCCCTGGCTCCCTGCCTTCCACAGGAACGTTGGCTGGTTAGGGTAATTAAGCTAGAAGTTTGACCTGAGCTTTCATTACCAAAACGTTGAGCCCTCAATCGTCCTGGCTTTTCCAGTTGCTGCAGGTTTGCACTCACCGTTACTGTTGGGTATGGAGACAGTACCCCGAGAATGAATGGCCTGCTTCCAGGCATTGGCGTTCTTGCCTCTTCAGTACGAATAGCAACCGTGTTCCTCCTGGCACCCTCCCTGGGCAGCCTCCTTCCCGAGGGGTTCCAATAGGCCACTGTCTCCTCCTTACAGTCTCTGGACCCAACAGGGGCCTGTGAAGGGAGTGCACAGGCTTCTCAAGCTTTTTGGGAGATTTTAAAAGCCTAACTGGTGATGTGTGTGCTATCATATGTATTCCAGTTAATGAACTACGACTTGGGGCGTGCTCGTGGAATCGTTACTTGATAAGGTCTGGGTTTTTTTGTGGGGGAGAACAATAAACCATATGGAGAGGGGGCCAGCAGGTGGCCTAGTGGTTACGGTGCTGGACTCCCACATGGCTGACCACAGTTCAAGTCCTGGACCAGGCAGCTTGAAAATCAGGCTGACTGCATGGTGTGCATACCCTAAATCCCAGGAGAATGGAGAAGGGAATGCAATATGGCCCTTCCCTCCACCTCTCAGGGGTGATTTTTCTTTCCCTCTCACTGTCTCTCCTCTCTGGGAAGCACACACTTCCTATGGCAAAAAAAAAAAAAAACCTTAAAAAATATGAAGAATGAAGTAGAAATAGGAAAATGTTTGGGGGTCTACGAAGGGCAAGACCCCACAGTAGCTTCCTGCCCAAGGAGCTTCCCCAAGGCAGGAAAGATGGAAGGTGGTGGTGTGTGGAGCCACCGCCCCCCTGTGGTCTCGGGGGAACACAGCTCTTGGAACAGCAGAGAAAGGGGTCTCTGGTAAGACCTCTGTGGAGAAGGGAAGAGAAGGATCCTCTAAATCCCAGACTGCCCCTTCTCAGGAGGGCTGAGCCTCAGAGCACGGTGTGTCGGGGGAGATGGGTGTGGGTGTCTTAGCCAGAGTCTCTGGACCTCATTGTCCTGACCCGTGCTGTTGACGGGGTCCCCTCTATCAGACCCTCATGAAGTGGAGACAGGCGGCTCCACAGGGCGCTTGGCGCCTGCTCGAGGGCCTTCTCTCCCATCTGCGTCTGTAGGGTCAGCTTGGCCAAGCCTGGGTGGTAGCGGGAGGGTGGGTGTGTGGATTGTGTGCGAGGAGCTGCTGTGGCCTGGCTGGCCTAGACTGCCCCTCCTTAGCCAACCGGCCCCGAGATGGGCCTAGGGCTTACCGCAGGCAACCCACAAACATCATCGCAGATTTATTTCCAAGCCTGAAACGCCCTGAAGGTCTGTCCTTCTCTGGTGGCGTATTGATATGAATCATCTTTCTATATTTAAAAAAAAAAAGTTTTTTTTAACTTGCCAGAGAGCACATGTGCTCATGAGAGAGAGACAGACAGACAGACAGAAAGCACCCCCCATGGGGGATGGTCAGGTCACAATCCTTTCTCCATCTCGCCCTCCTTTGGGCATTTCGAGAACACACGTGCCTGGCATGTTTTTCAAGCTGCTAGGTCCGGGACTCCACAATTGGCTGTGTGGGAGCCAGCTCCTTAACCACCAGGCCATGTGCTGGCCCCACCTTTCTATGGACAGGAAAACAATGATGAAAATCTCCACAGCTGGGAAAGGATGCTCACGTTCATTGAGAGGCTAGTAAGTGTGCACAGTAAGCGATCACATGCAGGGGGCGGGTCTGGGCGGAACAATGGTAGCCTAAGATGGGCAGAGCAGGTTCCCAGGTCTCGCGCCTGCGCTGCAAGGCCAGCAGAGGCAGAGAGTAACTGTGTGAGCCAGAGTGGGCCGGGGAGGAGGCGCTCAGACCTGCCAGGCGCAGGAAGTGCCACAGCGCTGCAAGGCCAGTGGAGGCAGAGAGTAACTGTATGAGCCAGAGTGGGCCGGGGAGGAGGCGCTCAGACCTGCCAGGCGCAGGAAGTGCCACAGCACGGCTCATGTTTGCTACATTCAGTAAGGCATGGGCTGCGCGTCCTGCTGCCACCCGCTTTGCCCTATAAAAGAATAAACCTGGGAACGGCTCAGGTCCGTGGCTATCTCCATCAGAGATGCCGGACCACCTGATCTCGCTTTTCTCTGCTCGTGTGTCTGTGTCTTTTTTCTAACCCACCACCGCTCTCCCTAGGTGGAGGTCTTACTAAGCATGCCTTGACAGTCTTAACAGCCTATCAAAGGCTTTGTTTCTGCTTATTTTACAGATAAAGAAGGTGAGACTCAGCAAGGCAAACTCCTCCCCTAGCATAGCTCTCAAGGAGTTTACTTTTTTTGTTTTTAAATTTTGCAAGAGAACTCATGTGCTCATCAGAAACAGAGAAAGAGCAAGAAAGCACCTCCATGGGGCATGTTCACACTGCAATCCCTTTTCTTCATCTCTGTTTCCTTTTGGGATTCTGACATATACACATGTGGGTTTTTTGTTTGTTTTTGAGAGGTGTTTGCTACAGGGCACATGCGCTCATCAGAAAGAGAGAGACAGAGACAGAAAGCGAGAAATCATCCCTCAGGGGATGGCCATGTCGCAATCCCTTCTCCTCCATTCTCCTCTCGAGATCCTAGGCATGCATGCACACGTGCCTGGCGTGAGTTTAAGCCACTGGGTCCAGGACTTGAACTGCGGTTGACTACATGGGAGTCCAGCTACGTAGCCATCATGGCTTCCGCTGGTCCCAATGTGTTTTTCAAGATGGGTCCAGGACTCAAACCATGCAGTTGGCCACGTGGGCTCCAGACACCATAACCACCACAACACCAATTGGTCTGAGTTTACATTTCTGAAAACAAATACCAGGAAAGGAAGATGTCTCCCCCAAATACTGCTTCCTTCTGCCCTGAGACCTGCACCCTCCAGCCAGGAGGGCACCAAAACCAACTTCCTGAAGTTGGGAGAGAAGAACTGAGATAACGTACAAGTGGCCCCTCCAGAAGTCGCCTTGCTCCACTCTGGCTTTGCGGGTCTTGGCTCCAGGGCGGGGTTTCTGGTCAACTTCCCAGGGAGCGGGTTGTGTGCCCCGTGCCCCTCCCTCCCCGAGAGCCACTGAGGCTAATGGGAGGGGCAGTCGGGCTGGGGAACGTAAATTCAGAGCTGGAGTAAAGCCAACGGGAGTCCCTCTCCTTCTTCAAGTTTATTTTATTAAAATATACAGGACTGAATACCAGAGGGCGTTGAGAACAGGAGCCACCCTCCCAGGCCACGCCCAAGGGAGACGCTTCTGCCATGCAGACATGCGGCCAGTTCACTCCCCAGCGTGGGAGTCAGATCCCTCCTGGTTGCACGTGCAGCCAGCCTGACCCCAAGGCCAAGGGGGACAGGGGCATGGTGGCAACCCTCTCCTTTGGTCTTGGCCTCTTAGAAGCAGAGCCACACCAGCTGGGAGGCTGGGAGGCCGGGAGGGGGGGAGTGGGGAGATCCCTGAGCCAGGGAAAGCCGATGCCCTCCAGGAGGAGGGAGAGAGACACCCGTCAGACCGGAGACGGGTGTCAGTGCAACTCTGAGGGGGCCCCCACAATCCCACCTTTCTTCTGGGGACCTGCTCACCTGGGGCCTGCTTTCTGGGGGTGCCCCGGGCTCCTAGGCCAGGCCTGAGCAGAGTGGGGGCGGCAGCTGATGGAATGTATTGTGTGGGAATGTTCTGGGAGGGCCCGTGCTGCCCGGACTGGGGTCCATCCAGGGGAGGCCTGAGCGGGTGGGAGCCGTCCTTCCCTCTCCTCATGGAGGCCTCCGCTGACCTGCTGCCTGGCCATGGCCTTCT